ACTGGCATAGGCAAAATTGCAAATTCGTTAGCTCATAAACTGGAAAAATCCTGAGGTTTAAAACCTTCAGGCATAGAGGGATCTAGGTGTTCAAACACGACCAGGAATCAATTTGTCTCTATTGCTCAGTTCTCTGTCCTCTGTGGTGGCTTCACTCTAAGGCAGCCCCTGCCTTCATGTCAAAGGCTCCAGGTTTCTACATCTATATCTACACTTATAGAAAGAGAGAGACTTTTCCCTAATTTTTCCAGCAGAATCTCAGGGCAGGTTCTGATAGCCTCAGTTAGGTTCATATACAGGCCAATAATCAAACCAACCACTGTTGGTTGCTAGAGAGATGTAGAATCCTCTCATTAGCCAGGCCTGTATCAAGTTGTCAATCCCTGAATTTAAGAGTAGAATTAGCCCTGGCTGGTGTGGCTCAGTGGATTGAGTGCTGGCCTGCAATCCAAAGGGTTGCCAGTTCGATCCTCAGCCAGGACACATGCCTGGGTTGCAGGCCAGGTCCCCCAGTGGGGGGTGTGCAGGAGGCAACCACACATTGATGTTTCCCTCTCTCCCTCCCTTCCCCTCTCTCTACAAACAAATTCTTTTTTTAAAAAAAGTGGAATTAGCCCCCCGACACCCTACACATTGAATGGGAGAGGGCTGGTTTTCAAAGGAAAATCCAGGTGCAGTTATCAGAAGAGAGATGAATGCTGAGGAAGCAAGTGCAAAAGATATTCCCTATGCAAGTGCTTCCCAGCTAGAATGAGAATCACCTGGGCCTTGTTAAAACACACATTCTGATTTGGAAGGAGGGGCCTGAGAGTCTGCATTTCTAATGGCTCCCGTACGATAATGCTGCTGGTCCTCACGCTGGCCACACTTGGAGTCAGCTGGGCACTCCGTCACATTTCTAAATTCACTTCAAGTCACGCTGTCACAGAGTTTTTGCAGTCTCAACCCTGCAGAGAGGACTATGTAAACCTCTTTCCTCATCTCCTCCCCCCCCTCACCCCATCCCATGGTTCCCAATGCACCCAAACATCAGTGCCATCTATTTGGGAACTACTCATCAACGTATTGCAGGCCCTGTTGCCAAGTCACAGTTGGAGAAACTGTCTACTGTTTCCTTTAGTGACCTTTATATGAAGGCCCACGTAATAAATTCACTTTTGAATTAGTGCTCAAAAATAGTTATTTCGTCAACAAATTGCCATGCTTCCTGGGATTTCATGATGGCAGTGTACATGTTCCAATTTTTATCTTGGCTACTAGGAAGCTCAGAGGTCAATCTAGTATCCAGTGGCAGAAGCAGTCACACCCTCGTCTTTCAGTTCAGTAATCTTTCCTTTCTAAATGGTGTAGCATAACCTTTTGTGAGCCTTGAAGTGCTGCTTTGTATATGGTTTAATATTGTAAGTTCTCTCAAATCCTTTTTGGAAGTCAGTGTTTCTTTGGAACATCCTTGACTTTCCCCAAATCTTTACTGAAATCCTCCACAGTCTTCAAAACCCAGCTCGTCATTATCCTGCTGCTTGATTATTACAAACAGGTTGCTTTTTCTATACACACTAACATACACATGTTAGTGGCTGAACCAGGTGTAAACACATTTTACAAAAATGGCTTGATAGTACATATGTTTTGCAGGTTTGCTTTTTTGGCTCACTAAGTATCTTAGCAATTTTTGTATGGCTCTCACTGTCTGTGCCAATCCCTACCAGCTTCTTAGCAAGTGGCTTTGGAATGTAGTTTTTTATGTCCAGTCTTCCCTCCTCAATGTTGTACCTGGATCAGGACCCACGTCCTGACTGACCTCTTTACATTGAACCGACCACATAGAGCACAGTCTCTGGGCATGCATTTATTCAGTACCCATACTTTATGCTCCTACCGTGTGCTGGGGGCGGGGGGCACTAAGCTAAGCAGGAAGGAACACAGACATGAGCATGGTCAACATCTGTTGTGTGCAAGGATTGAAATGTTCTGCATTTGTGCTGCTAAATACAGGGGTTTTAGCTACAGACAGTGTTTGAGCACCTGAAACATGGCAAGATCTCACTGCGTTGTGCTGGATGTGTAAAATACACAATGGGATGCAAAGTCTTAACATGAAAAAGAATATAAAGCAGCCAACTGATTTTTTTAATATTGATTTAGCTGTTAATAAGAATTCTGACACATTGGAAAAAACAAATATATCTAAAAATTCATTTACTTTTTTCTTTTTACTTTGAAGAATATAGTTGCAGAAAGCTTTAAATTATGTAAGTTGCTCACGTTACATTTCTAGGTCTGGCGGTCATGAAAATGAGCATTTCTGAGACCACCCCATGCTGGGCAGTGGAATTAGTTCTCTTGGTTTAGGGGTTTAATCACATCCTGCTGGTATATCACTTTTTAAAAATCACACTTAATGGTGCAAAAACTGAATTAATGGGAATTCTTATTTTAAAAAATCGAGTGTTACAGTATCTCTAAGCTTAGGGGCCAAAGGAATTGCAATCTGTGCTTATTTTTGCTCTAGGGCAGGGCCATGATGCTAGTAAACAGAGGCGATTATGGTTACCATTTCTGAGCACCTACTGTGTGCCACACTCCTTTACACTCCCTGCTCACCAGCATCCTCTGAGGGAAAACCCCAGCGCCCTTTCTCAGAGGCGGCCTTCGATCATGCGTGAACACAGGGCCTTCGCAGACCCATCCCTGGGACCCTGTGGCCATCCTGATTATGTAATTTGGGATGTAAAGGATACCTTACTAGGGGATCAGCAAGGAGGAGAAAGCTGCTCTACATCACCCAGCAGTGCTCTTCCCAGAACACCCCCTTGTTACTCAAAATATATGACATGTAATATAATGTTACGACACCCAAAACCACACAATATGCTCTTTTATTTTCCAGAAATGCAATATTTATCACAAATCAAAGAGGTGTTGTTGCATTTGTTTTAAATGCATACAAGTGCAATGTAAAGCAGTGATTAATGGTAATAATTTTTCAAGCCAATGGTCCGACACTCCCAGAGTCTGAATTCCTTTACTTTATTCACAAAAAGGCAAATGAAGCACAAACCGCTTAAATCCCGAGGTGGTAAATTGTTCCCAGTTCCCACGAGGACAGGCAAAAACATCCTGGTAAATAAAAAGAATTTTTTCAAATAATTCCCCTAAGCCTAAAAATTTGGATTTTTTTTCCCCTTAAACCACTACCACATGTTTATTTTAACAAGATAAGTATAACTAAGTCCTGTTTTAGGAGAAATTTTCAATTGTGAAGAGAAGAGAAAAACAATTACTCCTTTATGTGGTTACTGACAGCCTGTCTCCTTAGCAAAAACATGTGTGCATTCTGAGAACAGCAGTGAAATATTTCTACCACTTTTACAGTGAAGTTAGACTCTGATCAAGTCAATGTGTTTTCCTGAAGTGTCTTTAAATTCATTAATAAGGCCATCAGCACAGTCTGTCAGCTCTTCCTCCAAAGTGGCCCTGAATATCTCCGCTTCTTATCTCCTCCACGGCCACCACTCTGGGCCACGCCGCCGCCCTCTCATGCCTGGACAACTGCGGTGGACCAGGCACCCTGCCCTGCTCCCTACGGTCCGTCCTCAACCCAGCAGCCCTGGGGATTATTTAAATTAAATCCCGTCATTCTCCTGCCTAAAACCTTCCATGGTTTCCCATCACCCTCAGAATCAGATCCAGATGCCTCACTGACTACACAAGATGCGGCAGCCTCCTTGCACACCACCGTCTCCCCCGCCTGTGGTCTCCAGCCACGCCGGCCTCTTCTCAGTGCCTCGTTCTCTCAAAGCACGTTCCAGGCTCAGGACCTTCGCACTTGCTGTTCCCGCTACCTGGAACACCGTTTCCTCAAAATGTCACATGTCTGGCTCTTTTGTGTCCTTCCAGCCCCAGGTCCAACATCACCTCCTCAGAAAGGCCTTCCCCAACGACCCTCTCTGAAGAGGCCCCACAGAGATCTTCCCTAGCATAGCCTCTTTTATTGTCCTCCCACTTTTCAGTAACTAAATCTATCTTGTCATTTATTTGTTGGCCTACGTATTGCCTGTGTCTCCCACTCATCTCCAGTTTGAGCTCCATAAGGGCATGAGCTTGCTCATCCTATTCGTGGCTTAAAAAAGTACTCAATACTACTTTTGGATATATGTTTGAAAATCCCCATATTAAAATGTTAAAAGGGAAAAAGTGCTCAGTAAATGTTTGCTGAGGAAATGAGTGAATGAATGAATGACCAAATAAATCGACGAGACAAAGAAAGAAAAAGTGAGAGAGGAAGCCGTTACAAAGCAATTATAAAATGATAGGAGGAATATGATGCCTTAACTATTATTTAGCTAGATTGTTTGAGCCACATTATGTGACCTTATCTTTGTCATATAATACAAAAATGGTAATTTATTGATAATAATAGTATAGTTTTACTGAACTGTTTGCTTTTAACCTGACACTGTGCTGAGTATCTCCCCACCCACACAATTTCTCTCATCTTTCCACCACCCTGCGGGTAGGTTGTATTATCGCCCCGCTTTCGCTGAGGAGGAACTGAGACTGGGGAGCAGGGGGAGGAGGCATGAGTGCGGTGTGGGAAGGGCGAAGTGGCCAAGTGTCAGCTCAGCTTCTCTGATCTCTGAGCCACTGTGCCCACCGCCCACTCTCCCGAGGTGCTCTGGGCAATCAATGATCCTCATGACTTATTCTCGGAATGAATTCCCCACGGCAAGGGTCCTGGGTCGCATGACCATAACAATTCATCAGCTCTGTGCAGTTACATGGTTGACGTGGACATGGGGAAACTCAGAGTCGGCAAGCGCAGAGCAAGCTCCATGTGACAAGGGTCAGGGAGTGGGGCCCGGGGCGGGGGTGGGGGGAGTCACAGGGGAAGGAGAGGGAGAGCCCGCCTGGGGGCGGAGGGCCTGGAACACAGCATCAAGGACTCCCCTGCCTGGGGCTGAGGGCCAGCAGGGCTCACTCCCTTCTCTGTGCCGCAGGATGGGGTGCGTGAGGTCTAAGTTCCTCCAGGACAGAGGCAAGGCCTCCAAATCCGAGCTCAGTGCCAGCCCACACAACCCCGTGTATGTGCCGGATCCCACATCCACAGGCAAACGGGTGAGTGGGGGAAAAGGGGGAGGTCAGAGTGGGTGGGGGGAGGAATGGTGGCTGCCCCCAATTTCCCTGACAGCCTCCTGTTTTCCCAATGGTGAGCAGGTGTGATTGGGGTGAAATGGAGCTGACTAGTCGCCGGCAGCCTCCTAGCTCTTCAGCCTACGTCTGCACTGAGCACCCAGGACAAGGACGGCACTTCTCCTTGTCCTGCCGCCCAGGCCTTGGCCCGTCAGCCTGGGGTCCAGTGATCAGGTCCCGGTGCCATGGCAGGTCTCCAGCCTGGGCAGTGGCAGGAGCAGTGCTGAGCGTAATGAGTGACCAGATGAGTAACAACAGCAGTTGGAGTAATGACAGTAATGAAGATACTACCAGGGTCATAGCAATAAAACTGTAATAAAATTGTAGTAATACCAGTAACAACAATACTAATGGGAGTGGAGCAGCAATAAGAGAAGTGTAATACTGTCCCTGACTAGTATGGCTCAGTTGGTTGGGTGTCGTCCTGCAACGTGAGAGGTCACTGGTTTGATTCTTTTCAGGGCAATTCTTTTCCTCTCTCCAAAAATAAGCACATAAACTCTTTTTAAAAAAGAGAGAAGTGTAATAGTGGTAGAGGTATTTACTTACTTATGTTTATCCAGAGCTTATGATGCACCAAGCATTCACCTAAGCGCTTTATGGTTCCTAACACATTAATCCCTACAATAGCCTTACCTGTTGGTCACAATATTTATTACACCCATCTTACAGATGAGACACAGATCAAATAACTTGCCAAACATCTCATGGTTAGTAAAGGGTAGAGCCAGGATTCAAACTCGAGTAATGCAGGTTCCAGAGTACCAGTGGTAGGAGCAGGGGCAACAGAGGCAGAAGCTGAATGCTCATGATCAGAGCAGCAGTAACGGTGGTGATAGTGGTGGTAATGGTGGAAGGGGAAGTCGTAGTCGTAGCACCTCTAGTAATGGTCGTTGTGATAGTGACGGTCGGAGAGTAGTCCCAGCAGTGATGGTGGTGGTAACAATAACAGTACTAATAAGGGAGATGACAGTACTAATCGCAGCAGTAACAATAGTAATAATCGATACCATTTTTTAAATACCTACTATGTTCCGGGCATTGGAGTGAGGTGTTTCTATAGCACTAATCCTCACCATAACCTGTGAGTTCTGCCACTTTACAGCTGGGGTGACTAAAGCTTGAAGTGGTTCATTGGCTCCCTGGAGTCACACAGCTTGGATGAGGTAGAGCCAGGTCTTTCTACCCCCAAGGCTGGGGTCCTTGAGTCCCTCCCTTTATCTGAGGCTGGTCTCAGGAAGCACAGCCTCTGCTTGCTGCCTTCAGAGGCAGATATGCACTCCTTTTCCTGCCGCCTCTTAGAAGGGTCTTCCTTGCATTGAAGGACGGCCTATTACGCCATGGTTCTTGTTCCCAAACCTACCCCTTAAGCTGCTCCAAAGACATCCACACCCTTTGCCCCATGACAGCCTGTAGGGGTTGAAGGCAAAGATCTTATCCCAACCCACTTACCGCTTCCAAATCATCTTGCTCATAACATGGGCTCCTGACCTCTCCATCCTGCTTGCCCTTCTCCAGGCATGGTGTCTAGAACAGGGCTAACTCTGGAAATGGGAGAACAGTGGGATGGTCACCTCCCTCCCTCTGACACTTTACCTTTTTAAATACAGCTTGAGATTACATGAGCTTCTCACACCGGTGATGTCCTGAGCTGACATCCTAAACCCTGCGTCACTCCTGGCTCTGCTTCTCTCCTGATCTGCGTGACCTGGGCCCTTTCTGTGACTAAGGGCCCAGGTTCTCAGGTTCTCTGCAGCCCTCCAGCTTGGGAGGTGGAGGAGTTTCTCCCGCCGGCTTTTGGTTGCCCTCTCTGAGCATCCCAGTTACGGAATTCTATATTATTCAGCCATTCATTGTCCCCTCCTGCAGGACACTCGTTCAAGGGCAAGGTAATAAGCCTTCCTCAGAGAAAGGATTGCCGGATCACACCCATCGGCGGAACTCTGGGCAATATAGGCTCCTTCCCTGGAGAACTACCCAGAGCCTTTATAGATCTTTGCGATGGGCTGGTGACTCTCCCAGAAAAGCATGTGCTTCTCAGTGTTTCCCAGACCTATTTCTTTAAATTACTGCTTGTTTAAGTGTATGACACAGAAGTGCATTCCCTTCAAAGGTTGCAAATGACAGTTAAAGCTACAGTTTCTTCTGACCAAGGACCCTTCCCCAGAGTTCTCACCCCCACCCCCAGCGGTATTAATTATCAGTTTGGAAAGGACCCGTGCAAACCTTTGCCATGAATATACACTCATATCTGTATAGTATGTGTCCACAGAAAGTATTTAGGCTGTGTGTGTATGCATTTTACGTAAATGTATCATATTCCGAAGAACTAGCTTTGTTCACTCACAATATATCTTTGAAGTCTAGTTGCATCAAGAAAGAAGCTTGACTTCCTTTTTATAAGGGCTGCTTAGAGCACTGTGGTGTAGCCACCAGTTCCCCTGGAGGTAGACACTTAGGTTCTTTCACATAGATCACGGAACCTTTAGTCACGGAACATGTTGGTGGACCCAGGGTTTCTTCAAACATACCTTGGACCAGCACCCTCACTGTATGTCACGATGGGGAGAGACAAGCCAGGGTCCCCCAGCATGTGCAAGGCCAAGTGCAGAGCCCATATGCCCCTCATGGGCCCTTCCACCCTCTCTGGCCCTCCTCCCATGACACCCAGGGCTGGGCGGAGAGGCCTTTGGGGGTCCTTTTCAATACAGAACTTCTGCGGCTCCCCACACACTATTGGATTCATCTGCTTCTATTTCTCCCCAACAGCGACCTGACACCAGCAATGGCAACCCCCCAGGGTCCACGGAGGGTAAGTATCTGGCAAATGCGTGCAGCGGAGGAGTCTTGTGTTATGGAGAGGATTAGGTTAGGTTCTCAGAGTTTGAGGTGAAAGTCCCAAACAGTCAAAACCACCATTGAAAATCCCCTAAATCACCCCCAAAAAGTACTTCATACAGGCTATTTTGTTTCTATAACACTGTTTAATAACATGAACAACAACAACAACGTTAGCTTTAAACTGTAGAATCGCACCCAGCATGGCAAGATACTTAGATAGAGACAGATGCATCCGCAGGTCCAGGGCTGGGTGCCAGGTGTTGGGGCGGGAAACACCCAGGGCTGCGGGGGTGCTCAGCAAAAGCCTCGTTATCCCATGTGTCTCTTGTCCCAGCAGGTTCTGAGGACATCGTTGTGATTGCCCTGTACGACTACGATGCCATTCACCGTGAAGACCTCAGTTTCCACAAGGGAGACCAGATGGTGATCCTGGAAGAGTGAGTCCCCATTCCCCTCCCCCAAGACATACCTACCTCTGATACTCAGCTATACTCTCCTTTGTGCTTCAGTAAAAAACCTGGCAGATGACCTTATACCAGGGTGTAAATGACTGATGACAACCTGATCGTAATAGTGGAGGAAGAGTTGGTTGTCACCGTGGGTGAAAGCCACAATAAAGGGCCTTGCATGCTCACTAGTGGTGCGCATCCAGGCAAGGATGAACAGCTCACAGTGCTTTCCCAGGGAAGCCTTCCTCGGGCCCCTGTGATCAAGCTGCAGGCTTACGTATGGGCCAGACACTGCAGAGGGGGCTTCGCGTTCAGAAGTCCCTGGATCTCTGAGTTTGCTACCTCTAATCTCCTCCAGTCTTCAGTCAGCGGGTGTAGTGTCCAGTGTGTGTGGGGAGGAGGGTCCAAAAATGACAGTGGTTATGCTTAGTCAGACTCCTGAGCTCCTTCCCTCCGGGTCTTGGCCCCAGGTGGACCCCTATGAGTCTGCCGTGGGCACAGGGCCCCACCTTGGGTGTGGCTAGGAAGGCCAAGGTGGCACGTCCAGTGAAAAAGAGTAGAGCCAAAGACCTAGGTCTGTGGGCTGTGAATGCAGGGACAGGTTTGATTTCAGGCCCTCGGATGCGCAATGGGAACTGTTGTAAAGATCCCTCCCTAATCATGGGGTGTATGTGGGGGTACTCTAGGCCAAGGCTGAGGGACCCAAGAGGACCAGAGGGAGTCCTTCTGCCCCTTGACTTCTTTGCTCCCTCCTATCCCTTAGGTCTGGGGAGTGGTGGAAGGCTCGGTCCCTTGCTACCCGGAAAGAGGGCTACATCCCAAGCAACTACGTTGCCCGCGCTAACTCTCTGGAAACAGAGGAGTAAGTATTCCATTTTCTTGCCTTCTAGGCTGAGATGTGAGCAAAGCCAGCCCTGTTCCTGCCTCAGGGCCTTTGCACTCCCCGTCTAGCCTTCCTGGCATGCTTTTCCTGGGGCCCTTTGCCTGGCCAGCTTCTTCTCATCCTTCAGGCCTCGGAGAGGTCTTCCCTGACCACTGCATGTAAAGTGGGTCCCCTTTGTGACTCCCTCATTCCCTTTTGAAAACTTCTCACCAGCATTTCTTCCTTGTGCAAGATTTCTGGGTAACTTCCTAGGGGTGGAATTGCCAGGCAAACAGTTCTTACTGTGTACCCTGTCACATTTCTCAACTATTTTACTACGGGCTGAATCATTTTACAAAATGAAATCAAAGAAGGCGGGAGGGGCAGGGGGCAGTGTCGCATGGTGATCAAGAACTTGGGCTCTAGAGTTAGACTGCCTGGATTTGAAGCCTGGCTCCACTACTTCGCAGCTGTAGGATGCCAGGCAAGTTACTTGCTATCTCTGTTCCTCAGTTTCCCCATCTGTAAAATGAGGATAATAAGGGCAACATTTCCATAGAGTTGTTGGAAGGATGAATGTTAGCTGTCTTCCTCCCCAGCTAATACAAAGGAACCAGAGGCCCAGAGAGGAAAAGCAACTTGCCAAAGTCACACAGCAGGTTGATGGCAGGGCCAGTCTGCTGACCTCAGGTCTGGGGCTTTTTTCATCACAGCGCATGAACCACTCCTCGCCCTGCCAAGGGTGGGAATAGATATGGCTGCTGCTGCTAGAACTTCCCTCCTAATACCCCAAGTATCCTGGGAGAATGAAGAAAGGGTTCAAGGATATGGTCCCAAGTATTAAATTATTTAAAATCTCACATTCTTGCTTAGAAGTTCGTGCCGATTTTATGTGTGACTCTGTATACACAGAGAAGCATGAATTGTGAAGGTGACAAAGCTCAGACCTTCACTCACATGGGCCTTCAAGGTCCTGAGAGGAATGTCATGTGTTCTTGTGAAATTCACAAAAGTAAAATTTTGACCACAGTTGGTTAAGCTGTACCTTTGCACTCAGTCTCTGTCCATGTCGTTACCCTGCTCACTGGGTGGTGTGAGAATGACCCCGGGGCACGTTGTGTTTGTAATGCTGTGCTATTTTTCTTAGAGAAAGCTCCCCAACATGAGCTTCAGTCTCAGCAAACTGGATTCAGTCCTGGTAAAATGTCTGTTTTAATATCAAAAGAACCATTGTTTTTTCCCAACAGAATCTTTGAGGAAAATTGATGCTGCAGGATGCCAGGCCATCGGTATTCTGGTGGCCCTCGGCAGTGGGACAGGACAGCCCACTGGGGGTTCACACCCTGTCTCTCTCCCTTTCCACCAGGTGGTTCTTCAAGGGCATCAGCCGGAAGGATGCGGAACGCCAACTCCTGGTCCCCGGCAATGTGCTGGGCTCCTTCATGATCCGGGACAGCGAGACCACCAAAGGTGACCCAGCCCTCCCCACACTCCGTAGATAGATAGGTAGATAGACAGACAGATAGATAGATAGATAGATAGATAGATAGATAGATAGATAGATAATGACAACCAATGTTTCCTAGGTTTTCACATCCCAACTACTTTAGAAGCATTACTTCTTTTAATTACCAGGCAATGGGATGAGATAGGGAGGTCTCATGACCAATCCCATTTTACAGATGGGGAAACTGAGACACAGAGAGGTGATGTACTCACTTGTCCGAAGTCTCACAGCTGGACATGGAGGAGCCAGGAGAAGAACCCAGGCAGCCTGACTCCACAGCCCAGGTGCCAGGATGGTGCCGGCGGTGGTCTTACAGGCGTGTTAGGGAGGGGCGTCAGGGTACTGACGTCGAGCGGCAGGCCTCCGAGGTCCTCCCCTGAGTGATTTCTCTCTGGCCCATGCAGGGAGCTACTCTCTGTCCGTGCGCGACTACGACCCCCAGCACAGAGACACAGTGAAACATTATAAGATCTGGACTCTGGACAACGGGGGATACTACATCTCCCCACGAAGCACCTTCAACACCCTGCAGGAGCTGGTGGCCCACTACAAGAGTAAGTCCCTGCTTAGGGCCATACCTCCCCCAGGGTGGACCTATCTCCCGGGAATCCTCGTCAAGGGTGCACGGTACCCTCTGAGGCCCGCTGAGCTCTTTCTGACCCTTTCTCATCCCCCTCAGACAAACAGTTGCTTTGGATTCTCCTGAACTCTTAGGCCCATAGAGGAGGGGGCGGAGGTGGCAGCGCCTCGTGCTCTGCTCTATTGGGAATGTCCCTGACAACCCACTGGAACATTGGCCAAACGCAGTGGGCCAGGCAGGGGGGCCTGCGAGGGGAACCCTTTGGCTGGCTCAGAACTGGCTGCCCTTGACAAACCGGCACCTCTGTTCCAGAAGGGAGCGATGGACTCTGCCAGAAGCTGACAGTGCCCTGCGTGTCTTCCAAGCCCCAGAAGCCATGGGAGAAAGATGCCTGGGAGATCCCCCGGGAATCCCTCAAGATGGAGAAGAAGCTTGGAGCCGGGCAGTTTGGGGAAGTCTGGATGGGTAAGGACCCAGGGCCAGAGGGTGGCAAGAGGGAGAGAGGAGGGAGGCCTCTGCTTCCAGGAATAGCCTGAGACAAAGGAATGCCACCTGGGGCAGGGGGGAGATTTGAATATCAGCCATAAAGGAGCGATGCCTCTGATAGCAAACCAAATTGTCCTGCCATGCAAACACTGATTTACCTTGAAGGCCAGACCTGTTGGGGCCAAATTTTTCCTTCTGGGAAGCAGGAGTCCTGGATGAGGAATCAGCTCCCTGACATGGAGCCAGGACAATCTACCAGTTTGGGGTTGAGATTACCAGAGGCTCCTTAGGATGATGAAAATTAAAAATGGGGAAATGTAGCTTGGCGATTTCTGGGTGAGTTCAGTGTTGGCAACTGAAGAACAAGCTGCTCTGAGCACCTACCGTGTGCCTAGCCCGTGCCGAGGCATTGTGGGAGCCCGGTAGGGCATGTCCGGCCCCCGCTGTCCCGCCCCTAATAAGTTGAGAACAGCGGGGCCGGCCTTGCAGAATTGTGAGGTGGATGCAAGGCTTGGCCCAGTGCCTGGTGCACCCCACTGTGTTCACACCCACCATGTTTCAAATGGGAGTGAAGATAACTTACAGAGCTGCAACCAATTTAGTCAGGACAAAAAAAAAAAAAGTAAAATCCACAAATTTCAACTACATTTATTGAGAGCCTGCTATATACCAGGCATTGAATAAGTAAATGTGGTGGAGAAATCATGGAGAAGAAGGTAAGACAGATGTGAGTTAGAAAACAAAAAATGTATATAAGGCTTCAAACTCTTCAGGAAGACCTCATATTTGGATTAGAGCTTCCTGTTAGCCAAGGCAAAAATGGAAACACAAGCAATTATGAGATTGATGAGATCATCTACAAGATGAAGTATATCGGTGGGGTGAAGGAACACCGTATGCAAAGTTCCTGTGGTGGGAGGGGTGCTTGGGTGCTCAAGGCCGAGGACACGCAGGCTGACAGGAGCACAAAAGGGAGGGCGGGCTGTGGCGGATCATGAAGCCGGCAAGATGGGCAAGGCCAGATCATGGGTCTGGCGAACTATGGCAAGACTCGGATTTATTTTGAGAACAGTGTAAAGGTTAATTCATCCTAAGGAAAGATAGCGTGTGTGAGAGTGACACAGCAAAGGTGGTCTGTGTGTCTCAGTGGCATCCCCTGAGTGACGTTTTGAGGTCATTCTTTAATCCTTGCCACAGCCCTTCAAAGGCAGTGCTGATCATTTCTGCTTTGCAAATGAGGAAACCGCAGTTGAGGGAGGGTAAGGGACTTGCCCAGGGGCACACAGTTAGGAAAATGTGAACCAGCTTCCCATCCACAGCTGCCCAGGGGCACACAGTTAGGAAAATGTGAACCAGCTTCCCATCCACGGCTGCCCGACGCAGGGCACTGTCAGCTTCTGGCAGAGCCCATCCCTCTCTAGCGGCTGAGACGTGCGCGGAAGGCTTCCTGGAGGAGGCAGGCCTGCAGCTGGGCCTTCCTGGGCCGTGGGGAACAAGCAGTAGGCTCTGACCACCTTCCCTCCTGCTTTCTGTCCCTCTCCAGCCACCTACAACAAGCACACCAAGGTGGCCGTGAAGACGATGAAGCCGGGGAGCATGTCTGTGGAGGCCTTCCTGGCAGAGGCCAACCTGATGAAAACGCTGCAGCACGACAAGCTGGTGAAGCTGCACGCGGTGGTCACGGAGGAGCCCATCTACATCATCACGGAGTTCATGGCCAAAGGTACTGTGCTCTGGGGCTGGGGGTGCAGGCCGTGGCAAGGACAAGTCAACCGAAGACTCAGAGGTGACTCTGACATGGTTCTTGCCCTTGACATGCCCCTCACCTGGCCAGGAGCTCTTCCCTCAAGTACTCATTGAGCACCATAATATGCAGCTGCCCAGCCCTCCCAGTTAATGGGGTGAAATCGTGTTAAAGAGATGTCAGGGGAGGGGGAGCCCACAAAGCTTCCAGGAGAGGGGCGTAGGGCACAACCCTGCTGGGTGATGGCAGGAGAGGCTTATGGATTTACCGTGAGCCTTAAAGACCAGGGGTGGCTCTCCCCTTCAGCCACATTCACCGCGTGGACCAATGCTCTGGATAAGAGATTCGACACAGCGTCCCGTCCAGGCTGTCCCCACCCTGCTCACCTGTGACCCGGAATTTCTCAGGGATTGTTTTTTTAGGCCATCATTTCACAACCATTTTCAATGTCTGCCCATTTTCAATTAATAGAAACATCTCACCCAGCCTCATTTAGTGAGATTTAAAATCTCAAAACTTTTCTTCATTTTCTAAATACACAGTTAACGCCAGCCTTATAAAACCCTAGCCCTAGTCATCCGGGCTCAGAAAGCTGTCTGAAAGAACCAATCTAGCAGTCACTTAGACTGAGTCATTTAAAAACACTCAGATTGTTTCTCTCAAACACTAGGAGTGGTCAACAAGTACTTTTATTTCAATTTATTGCTAAGAACAATTTTAACCCTAAGTGGCGAGAGCCGTCAGTGTTGCCTCCCCCTCCCCCGCAGGAAGCCTGCTGGACTTCCTGAAAAGTGCCGAAGGAAGCAAGCAACCACTGCCGAAACTCATCGACTTCTCAGCCCAGGTGAGAAACTCATCGACTTTCTCATGGGGAAGTTGGGGGTGGCGGGAGACAGGAATTCAATGATTTATTCAGCGCATACTTACTGTTCACATGCTACAGTAATAGCAACTCCACTGGCTAACATTGAGTGCTCTGTATAAAAGTATATATCTATTTTTTAATGTGCCTCACACATACTAACTCGTTGAGTCCTCACATCAACATTCTATGGTGGGACTTTTGTTATCTATTCTTATGGAACAGACCGCCCCGAAGCTTGGAGCCGGAAACAGCAATTTGTTATTTCTCATGATTCTGTGGGTTGACTGGAGTTGGCTGGGTGGTTCTTCTGCTATACATGGTGAAACTGAGGTCACTCACAGGGCTGCATTCTGCTGGGAGCTGGGCTGGGGCTAGAGCGTCCACAATGGTGTCTCATTCTCTGTGGTCTCTCTCCATGCGGCTCTTCATCACGCAGCGGTCCAGCCAGAGCTGCTTTCTGGAGTGGCAGGGAGGTTCCAAGAGGGAGTGTGCAAAGGGGCCAACTGCTCCCGTGCAAGTGCTGATGAAGCCTCTACTTGCGCCGTGCTTCCTAATGTCCCATTGGCTAAAGCACGTCACAGGGCCCAGCCCAGAGGCGGTGTGGGAGGGGCTTGGCCAAGGGCCTGAGTCCAGGAGCCATGGTCCATTCGGAGTCATCAATGTGACAGTCTGACCACAGGAAAGAAATTGCCATCCCAGTTGACATAATAGGAACTTGAGGCATAAACAGGAAGATAAGTACAGAGGAGGAAACTGAGGCTCAGCAAGGTTAAGCAGTTTGCCCAAGTTACTGTGCTCATTTTGGGGGATATACCAGGGAGTAAAACGGACAGTGTCGCTGTCCTCACAGAGTGCAAAGTCCAGGTGGGGAGACAGATATTAAATAACCGAGTCTCTTCGAGAGCTCTGACCTGAGAGGCCGGCCTCGGTGTCAGAGGAATGCAATATCCAGCAAAATAATACTATACACAAGTCACAGAAACACCTCTTAAATCCCCGTTTTCTTTCTCATCTTCCCTTCACTCTTTGCAGCTCCTCTCACCCTCAGCCTGAGCGCTTTTCCTTTCTCTCCCCTCTCATTCTCTGTGGGTGAGCAAGGAGGAAAGGGGTGCCCTGGGAGCACACAGCTGGAGCATTTAGCCTGGCCTAGGAGCAACCCAGAAGACTTCCCAGAGGAGGGTGGCCTCTAGGTGGAGCCCTGCAGAATGAGTAGCAGTTAGTCTGATGAAGAGGAGAGGAAAGGGTGTTCTAGACTAAACAAACAGCATGTGCCAGAGCTCAAAGGGGAAAAACAGAAGAGCTGGACCGGTCAACCAGGGCCTGGGGCTGGTACACATGAAGGGACCTGGTTTGCAGCCTGGAGGGTGTTGAGGGAGACCTGTACCAGCCTAGGGCTGGGCCTTCTGAAGATGCCAAGGCAGAGCCCATTTGAGTATGCAAATCCTGGGGTGGGGGCGGGTGGAGGGGGCTCAAAAAGAGGTATAAAAAAGGGTCTAACCTTTCAGAGCCTGGAATACCAGAGACACATGGAAATCAGGGCCTGGTGGTTTGACTTTAATGGGCCCTGCCCCTAAGGAAACAATAGTCTAGCTTGTTGCTAAATGATAACTGTCAAACCTGCGGGAACCTTGCGGGCCCATTGTCTTTGCCCCAGAGTCTATGACTGGGGCAAGGGCCACTCTCCCCATTTCACAGATGGGAAAACAAGCCAAGGGAAGCAAAGAGGTGCCAGGCCCTCGTGTGTCCAGGAGCAGAGGTGAACTCAGGGCCCAGGGACAAGAAGGAGCCAACCTGGGGACCTGATCTTTGCCTGCAGTCCTAGAGGCAGATTGGCACAGTGCTGTGCCCCATACCTATTTGGATCTCCATTTGTCAAATGAGGGAAATAGACCACATCTGTGGTTTTCAAGTTCAGAAGCTTATTTTTCCTTTGGCACAACTCTGTTGGTCAATGAAATCTTATACAGTAACTGAATGTTTTAAACTTGGTCAAAACAGTGCTGCTCTGACTGAAAGGTGGAGCCTCATATGTGGCACTTCTTTTGTTCCCCTATGCCCACCCCCAGGCAACCTGAAGGTATCAATAAAATTCCGTGTGAAGAGCCAAAGCATTCCTACAGGCCCTTCCAGCTCTGATTCTGTGATTCCCTGATAGTCTCAGAAGAAACCTAAGTTCTAGCGCCTAACATCATGGCAGCCCATTCGGTGGCCGTGAAATCTCACCACGTGATCAAACCCCAGTTCTTAGACCAACCCTGAGCCCAGTAAACCTCTCCATGAATTCATTCAGTTGACAAAACCTCGGGAAACAACCCTCTGTAGATGTATTGGGCTTAGAGGTTGCACAGAATTTTGGTTTTGATCCCAGCTCTGCCCGTGAAGCATTGAGCAAGTTGGTTAACCTCTCGGAGTGCTCCTTCCCTCAGCAGGGAGCACTGAGGTGAATACTTACATGACAGACACCATTCTGGATCCTTGATGTAGGCTTCCAGGATTAATTCTCACATCACCCCTCGGAAACAGGATCTGTTGTTGTCCCCATTTGACAGAGAAGAAAAACGAGACACAGAAGGTTGAAGTAGGGGCTCAAGCTGAGCTGCTCCAACTCCAGAGTCACTTAGGCATTATCCCCTCTGTTCTGCATGGGGCTAGTCTCACTTGCCCCACTGAGCTCCTGTGAAAGTCAATAACATGAATGTCTGCCAATGGGCACTAAAACTGGTAACTGCCAGCATTAGTGCCTGCTCTGTGCCAAATAGATGGCCAAAAATTCAGGGGAAGTAATGGATGAGTGCACGGACCCTGAGCAGGGCTGTGGGAGTTCCAATCCTGGCCCTTCCCGGGACCAGTTACTTATTTCTCTGGCCTTTAGCTTTCTTACCTGTGAAATCGGGCTGATGGCAATAGTACCTCCCCCAAAGTACCATCTTATAATGAATGAATAAGCTACACTGTCTCCCATTAGGGTAATAACCAATTCTTGACTGCACCTCTAAGGACTCCTTATACATCCCCACCTCCCCACCCCAGGCCAAGACATGTCTTAATCCCTGGTCAGCTACCCCAAACAAAATTACAAAGTCAAGTTTTTGTTGAGAAGTCTCCTGCCTCATACCCGAGTTTCGATGGTCATGGTTGCCCCCTGCTGGAAACTCTCTGTAAGTGCATCACCCCCTCGAGCCGGCTTTTGCCTTGGTTTGGTTTGCCTGGGCGGAGAGGTGCTACTCCTGCAGATAATCTCAGCAGACTGCACCCAGTTGCAGTCCTTCAGAGCACTGAGGTTATGCAGTAATTAGGGGCAGCGTGGCACACTGGTTCTGAACACCCACAGACTGGATTGAGTCTGACATTCAGAATTTTCTTGGTGGTATGATCTGGAAAAAGTGTCCCTCCGTAAAGCAGAGATTGAGAGAGCACCTGACTCAAGGAGCTTGAAGGCCAGTTCAAGTATAAGTGCTGTTTGCTGGGTGCCTGAGGGTTAATGATAAACTTACTTATGAAGGTTAATGCACAAGCCCTTCAAAGTAAAAAAAAAAAATAAAAAAGTCTCTAAGGAAAAACCACACATCTTTCCATCAGAGGTGTCTAGGGCCCTGTTGTGAATAAGAATCCTGAACAGTCTATTATTCACTTGGCAGCCATGATGGAATAAAAATATACACCACACAATGTCACATTCCAACTCAAAGCCTTCTGTCTTCCCATCACACCAGAATACATTCCAACCTCCTCTTCTAGCCTGCAAGGTCCTTCACGATCAGCCACCTCCCTCTCAACTCCCTGCACTGCCCCTGTGGCAACCTCTGCTCGGCCACGTGTTCCACAAACACCAAAGCTCATTCCTACCTCCGGGCCCTTGCACCTGATGTTCTCTCTGCCAGGAACATTCTTATTTGATAAACTTACTATCATCACTGAGATCTTTGCTTAGACTTCACCTCCTCAGAGCAGGCTTCCCTGACCACTCACTCAATCCCAAAAGCCTCCTAGACTATTTCCTGTTACCCCTCTGTCTCCTTTCTTCATGGTACACCTTACCACCTGCAGGGGTTTTGCCTGGCTCAGCACCTGTTCAAGTAACATGGCTGGCACCCACAAGACATTCAGTAGATATTCATGAATAAACAAATTTTTCCTACTCAGGTTTGGGAATAAAGAAGATATAAGAGATACAGCAGTATATGATCTGAGCCTAGGTCATCCCCAGAAAGGGGCTGGGGGAATGAACAGTCTTCATAGTATCCTACAGTGGGTATATAGGTCCCGGAGAATAATACCATTCATTGCTTTTTCCTCAAAGTGTTCTCTGGAAGTCTCAGAACTTCTAGAGAAGCGCCCACCCTGACCTAGGCCCTGAGGGTCCTCCCAATCTGGAGGGGTAGAGAGAGAGATGCCTCCCTGAGCTCAGGACCCTACCACAGAAAAAAGGGAGCTGGCACGCACATTTTCCTCTTTCCTCATGCTTGGACACTCCTCTTCTGCCTTTGGGTGGGACCTATGCTGGGCTGGGCCAGATCTGAGGATGAGGGTCTCTCTGTTTTGGGTGTAGATCGCAGAAGGCATGGCTTTCATCGAGCGAAGGAACTACATTCACCGAGACCTCCGAGCTGCCAACATCCTGGTCTCTGCATCCCTGGTGTGTAAGATTGCCGACTTCGGGCTAGCGAGGGTCATCGAGGACAATGAGTACACAGCCCGGGAAGGTAGGGCATGCTGCCAAGAGGACATGTATCCTTATAGATCACATTCACCAACCACCATAGAACTAAGGTAGAAATCAGTAACCACAGGTTACCTGAACCCATCCCAGGCCAGGCAGAAGGAGAGGAGGAGTATAGGGAGAGACACCAGTGACTGGTGGAAACCTTAGGGGCCAAGGACAAACTCTTCCCTTTTCCCATTGCCCGGTGTGAGGACACTGAGGCATTCATTAGCTACCACCTGGACTCGAGGCGCCCTGAAGTCCTGCTGTCCCCAAAGATTCTGTGACCTTTGGAATTCTGCTCTTCAGGAGTCGTAGGTCATGGGGCTGAATGAACAAAGTGGTCCTGGGGAGTGAGGTCCCCTGCCACACCCCTCCGCCCACCCCTCCCCACTTCAGCCGCCTGTTGTCAGCATAGGTGTTCCCTGCTTCCACAGAGGCCAGGTTTAGGGCAATCACAGTTCTTCAGGGGGCAGACGTGGGCAGCTGTGCCACCCTGTTCCCTCACCCCAGCTGAGACCCAGCTCTGACTGCTCCCCAGCCTCTCCCTGACTCTGCTCTTTCCACCCCCTCAGGGGCCAAGTTCCCCATCAAGTGGACAGCTCCTGAAGCCATCAACTTTGGTTCCTTCACCATCAAGTCCGACGTCTGGTCCTTTGGTATCCTGCTGATGGAAATCGTCACCTACGGCCGGATCCCATACCCAGGTACAAAAGTGGCATCAGCGGGGGCTGCTTCCAGGGCCCAGCCTGGCTCTCTTCTCTTGTCAGTGTGTCCACTCAGACTGAGTCCCTGATCCTCGGCTTCCAACATCCCCTCACCTGCCCCATCCCAGTTAAAGGCCTACCATCCACCCAGCTTCCTAAGCCTGAAATCTGGGGGCTTCCTCTGCCCTTCCTTTTCTCTCACCCCTTACCACATCCGAGTCACAGTTTCTGGCTATTTGACTCCAAAACACATTCCAAGTCTTCCCTCTTCTAACCCTACAGCCTCCACCCACATCCAGGCCAATATCATCTCTCACCTTGCTGGTGCGTGGCCACCTAACCGCCACCCTGCTTTCTCCTCTCTCTCCTGCGGGCCATCCTCTGCTTGCAGCTAGAGCAGTTTTTCTAAAATTGTGACTCAGATCTTGTTCCTTCTCCACCTCTAACTCTTTCATGGCCTCCCATCATATTAGGACAAAATCCCAGACGTCTAAGTATGTGCACAGGTCTGGCATGATCTAGCCCCTGACTACTTCTCCAGCTACACTTTTTGCTGTATCCCCTATCCAGTTATCCAAAGTCCTGTACATATTCCCTGTGCTTCTTGTTCATAACACCCTACACTGTTTCTTTTATAGCATTCATCACAATAGATAACTATATACTTGCTTAATATTTTCCCCATCAGACTCTTAGCTCCTTGAGGCCAGAAATCATGCCTGCGTTCCTCACTGGTGTAGCTGCACTGCCTACCTCTGCGCTCACTGCATAGTGAGTGCTTAGTAACTAGTTGTGGAATGGATGAGTGTACCTATCCACTTGCCCGTGGGCAGCACCCTGCACTGAGTAGAACACAAACATATACTCAACATATAGATTGCCTAGGACTCAGTAAACAATGTTGTTCTCTGTTCCTTTTCAGTTGAGATGTCACCTGGGGTATCTCTAGCCAGAACACTGGAAAGAGGGGGCAAGGGAGATATAAAGAGTCCCTGACATTTTAATACACTATCCTGAATTAGAGTCCTGTCCCCATCAACGATTACACTTTGAGACACTTACTTCACTTCTACCTCAGGGTCTTCACCTGTAAAAAATACGGGTAATGATACCTAGCTTGCAGAAGTGGTTGTGAAGATTAAGAACAAAAAATATAGACACTGTTCATTCAACGGTATTTATCAAATTCCTGCCAGGTGTTATGCACTAAGGGGACAGTAAGAGACGAAGTCTCTGCTGGTAAGGAGCTCACGTTCGAGCCTGGAGGCACACACTAAGCAGGCACACACTGCCAGCTGGAGGTCACTGCTGAGGAGAAAGGGAAGCAGAGGCATTTGAGAGTGGGTGACGTGGGGCTCCTGGGGACAGGGGGCACCTGTCAGAGCAGGTTGTATTTGAGCTGAAAAACAGATGAGTGACCATCTAGGGAAAAGATTTCAGGCAGAAAACACTGCTAGATTTTAGGGCCTGCGGTGCGCCTGAAGAACAGCAAGGAAGCCAGGCAGCCAGAGACCGGGAATGAGAGCAGATGGTGGGTTACGAGGCTGACCAGGGCCAGATCCAGGGGGGCCCATGGTCACGGTGAAGAGTGAGTGGATGCGAGTGTAAGTATGCGGAAGCCAGTGGAGGATTTGGGGCTAGGAAATGGCATCATCTAATCATGTTTCAGTGATGCTTTGGTTCAACATGGAGAGTGGATTGGGAGCTGGGGACACGGTGGCAGCCTCAGCAGTGGCACAGATGGTGATGGCAACAGAGATAAGTTGATGGGTTGATGCTATGTTTCAAAAGAAGAAAGGATGTGACTTGCTGATGTGGGAGGTGGAGGAGAGAGAAGAATCAAGGATGGTTCTCCTGGTTTTAATTGAGAAACTGGGTGAGTGATAGCCTGTGGGTAGAAATTCAAGAACTCTGTTTTAGGCCCATTAAATTTGAGGTGACTAGGAAACATCCAAGTAAAGATGTTCAAGGAAGCATTTGGATATATGAGTTTGGAGTTCAAGACTGGTAATATAAAATTGGGAATCATAGTTAAATTGTTGTTCTTAAGGATAGCTAACAAATTTAATTTAAAAAGGAAGTGGTCCCACCCACAGGGTGACATCGAGTCTGGCTACCTAACTGTTTTGTCTTGAGGGTACTCCAGGAAAAACCAGGCAGTGGGTTATGAAACCCTGTATCCATTAGGATGCATTAGGCTGCAAGTAACAAAACAACAGACTAAGGAGTGGTGGAAACAATAAGCAAGTTATCATCCCCCATACTAAGTGTGCCATTCGTGACTGGTAGTTCAGCCGCTCAGCAGCTCTCAGGACTCTGGTAGTTTGTGATTGTCTTCCCCATGTGGTCAGATGGCTGCTGCAGCTGCAAGGATCACATTGTCTCACAGTGCTGAAGAAAGGAGGAAGTGTGCGTCCTTCAAAGTCTCTTCTTATCAGGAAGGAAAACTTTTCCTAGAAGTCTCCCTGGAGACTCCCCTTCAGCTCCCGTTGGCCAGAACTGGGGTCATGCCCCTGCCCTGGCTCAGGGGAGTCACTGGACTTCACAGTGAGAGGCGCTCAGCTCCCACAGGAGGTAGAGAGTGATGGCTGCTGGGGAGGCAAGTATGTCTGCCACCCCTGGACTCCGGTCACCAACCCCTCCCTTTTTAATTCCATGGTTCCTTCTCAGGGATGTCAAACCCGGAGGTGATCCGGGCACTGGAGCGAGGATACCGGATGCCCCGGCCAGACAACTGCCCCGAGGAACTCTACAACATCATGACTCGCTGCTGGCAGAACCGCCCTGAGGAGCGGCCCACCTTCGAATACAACCAGAGTGTGCTGGAAGACTTCTTCACAGCCACCGAGAGCCAGTACCAGCAGCAGCCGTGATGGGTGGGACCAAGGCAGGGCCAGGCGCTGAGGCAATGTCTCAGACATGTCTCCAGCACCGTCAGCCAGATACCCACTCACCCTTCTCCTTCCCAGACACCCGCCTTCACTGCAGCCATGGTTCCTCATCTGTCAAGTGGATGGGTTGGACTGGACAATCTCTTTTTGACTCTAGAAATCCACAACCTGCTATTCTCAGGAGGCCCAAGTTCTTATTTCTATTGCCTGGGACTTTTGTATCCCAGCTGTGGTTTGAATGGGAAACTTTTAAAATAATGAAATAAATATTTAAATAAAAGTGCCCTGGCTGGTGTGGCTCAGTGGATTGGATGCCAGCCTGTGAAACAAAGGGTTGCAGGTTCGATTCCCAGTCAGGGCACATGCCTGGGTTGTGGGCCAGGTCCCCAGTTGGGGGCGTGTGAGAGGCAACCAATCGATGTATCTCTCCTACATCAATGTTTCTCTCCCTCTCTTTCTCCCTCCCGTCCCCTCTCTCTAAAAATAAATAAATAAAATATTTTAAAAATATATTTAAATAAAAGATATGTATGCTGAAGACTACTGACAGGTCAGCTGTTCTTCCAGTTCCTTAATATCTATTTGACTTCGTGCTAGACAAGTCAAAAAAGGGGAAGACCCTTCCCCGAGACCAGTAATGCAAAGAGAAGGAGTTCAGTACTCAAACTGCCTCAAAATAGTTGCTGACTGTGTTAGTTTCCTATTGCTGCTGTAACAACTTGGAGGCTTAAAACAACACAAATTTATTATCTTACAGTTCCAGAGATCAGAAGTCTGAAATGGATTGGCAGGGCTACGTGCCTTTTGCAGGCTCTTGGGGACAGTCCTTTTCCTTCCCTTTCCCAGCTTCTAGAGTCTGGTGCATGGTTCCTTTCCACTCATTACTCCAAGCTCTACTCTGGTCATCTCATCTCTTTCTCTGAGTCTCTTGCCTCCCTCTTTTGCTCATCAAGAACCCTGTGATTACACTGGCCCCACCTGGATAATCCAGACTACGCTTCCATCTCAAGATCCTTATAACATCAATCAAGTCCCCTTTGCCATGTAAGGTAACGTCTTCACATGTTCTAGGGCTTGGGACAGGGACTTTTTGAGGATGGTGGGGCATTGTTCTGCTTCTCACACTGGCGCTGGGACTCTGTACTTGTTTCTGTCTCCAAGGAACCGGGTCTGCCAAGAAGACAGGAATGATTTTTCATACTCTAGGACCCTGACTCTCCTGCCAGGCCACATTGCTACACAAGCTGGTAGGTGTCAGCCAGCATTGGGGGCATTCTCCATGCTCAAGGAGCCCTCGTGGTTATTAAGATGGTACCCATGGTTGTGGGAATCCTGGGATCTGGCGATGTGGCTGCTGAGAGGTATCTGGTTTCCTGCGTGGGAGGCTCTCAGTGGAGGGGAGGAAGACCTGGGAAGGGAGCAGAGAAGCCACGGAGGCGTGTGGTCTCAGTTGTAAATCCCTGGCAGTTAGCTTTTGTTGTAAGGGGAGAGGTGAGAAGAGGTGACAGCGGGACAAGGAGCAAATGACACCTTTCTACAGTATTGCATTCCTTGAAGGATCTATATCCCAGTACCCACTGGGGTCCCTGGGAACCCTATATGAACTGATTCTGTACCCCTGAGGAGCAGAGTCTTAACCTTAGAAACTGGGCATAAGAACAGTGGGAAATGAAGCTATCAGTGGTTCCACTGACCTAGTTGGTAACTGAATTTCTCTCTTGCTTTCTGGTTTGAGATGTGCGTTTAGGTACTTGTGCACAAGGCTCTGTGATAGGAATTTGCACTCAAGATTGTGGGAGCAATAGACTGAATTGCTGTTCAGAATCCATAGGAGGAATACACCTCCCTGCACCACTGATGTTGAGTTTAGCCACGAGACCTGCTTTAGCCAATGGGATATTAGAAAATGTGATGTAAGCAGAGGCTTAAAATGTGCTTGTGGGGTTGGCTCCAGCCTTTTGTCCTGAAAAGAACATAGTCCAAGAAAGACAAATGACACATGTTGCATACGTGGACCTAACCTGCAGTTTGGAGTTAAACCCAGCTGCTCCCAGCCTCAGTCAACCGAACCCCTGCCCTGTGGACATGTGAGAGAGGAGTACATGGTTACTTTCATAAGATTTTGAGTTTTAGCATTGTTTTGTTATTGAGCATTATTATAGAAATAGCTGGCTGAGCCCTGGCTGGTGTGGCTCAGTGGATTGAGTGCCGGCCTGCAAACCAGAGGGTCACTGGTTTGATTCCCAGTCAGGGCACATGCCTGGGTTGTGGGCCATGTCCCCAGTAGTAGGTGTGTGAGAGGCAACCACACATTGATGCTTCTATCCCTGTCTTTCTCTTTCCCTTCCCCTCTCTCTAAAAATAAATAAAATCTTTTTAAAAATTTTTTTAGAAAATAAAGAGAAAGAAATAGCTGACTAAGACATGATCACGACAGTTGGAGCCCATTGCTATGTGGATGAGATCAAGATGTCAATTCATGCCCTCCTGCTCTATCGGTTTACATTACTCTACACTCTGATTTATCCCCTGGTCACAGAAAAGACAGGTGGAAACAAGGGGACAGATAGAACACCAAGAGCATGATCCATGAAAGAAAAAACTGGTAAGTTAGACTCCTTTAAAATTAAAAACTTTGCTCTGAGGAAGACAGAGAAATGAAAATGAAGGGAAAGGCAAGCTCTGATAATGGGAGAATATATTTGCAAAACACGTATCTGTTAAAGACATCATATCCAAAATATACAAAAAAACTCTTAAAACTCAATTTAAAAATGGGCAAAAGAAAAGAAGGGTCAAGCCAAGGAACATGTATAAAGGACCCATGGACAAAGCCAAAGTGGGGAAGGATCGAGGGTGGGAGGTGGGGGTGGGTGGGCAGGGGAAAGGGGTGGCAGGAAAATGGAGACAAATGTATCTGAACAATAAAAAAAAATTAAAAAATAAAATGGGCAAAATCCTGAACAGACACCTCACAAAAGAAAATATGCAGATGGAAAATAAGCAAATGAAAAGATGCTCAATATCACATGTCATTAGAGAAATGAGGTATCACCACCCACTTATTAGAATGGCCAAAATCTAGAACACTGACAACACCAAATGCTGGTAAAAATGTGAAGAAACAAAAACTCTTATTCATTTATTGCTGGTGGTGATGCAAAATGGTGCAGCCACTTAGGAAGATATTTGACAGTTTCTTATAAAACTAAATATATTCTTACTATACAATTCAGCAAAGCACTTCTTGGCATTTACTCAAATGAGTTGAAAACTTATATCCTCACAAAAACCTACATTCTAATGTTTGTAGTAGCCTTACTTATAATTGTCAAAACTTGGAAGCAACTAAGAGGTCCTTCAATAGGTGAATGACTAAACAAACTGTGGTACATTCATATAATGCAACAGTGTTCAGTGATAAAAGGAAATGAAATACTAAGACATGGAAGAAACTTAACTGCCTATTGCTGAGTGAAAGAAGCCAATCTGAAAAGGCTGCATACTGTATATTCCAACTACATGACATTCTGGAAAAGGTAAAACTGATAGAGACAGTTAAAAATCAGCAATTGCCAGGGATTTGGTGAGAAGGGAGGATGGGATGAATCCCCGGGTAGCAGAGAACAGAGGGGATTTTTAGGGCAGTGAAACAGTTCTGTATGATACTCTTAGTGGTAGATACATGTTATTATATATCTGTTAAAACTTATGGAATGTACAGCTCAGAGCACAGTACAGCACAATGTGAACTATGGACTTTGATTAATAATAATGTACCAACACTGGCTCATTAGCTGTAACATATATACCATATTAAGGCAAGATGTTAATAATAGGGGAAACTGGGAGCAGGTGAAGAGGTGTTTGGGAACTCTGTACTTTCCGTTTATTTTTCTGTAAACCCAAAACTGCTCTAAAATATAAAGTTTAACAAACAAACAAACCAAAACATAGGGATACATTTTGCGGCACCAATTCCATGTGAAAAGTGCACACAGTCCTCCCCTGGAAGGCGGCAAAGGGAGGCATGGACACAATGCCCCATGTTAATGGCTTGTTTCAGTCTATCCGCTCGCTGTGGCTTTGAGTTTAAATGTGGGGAACGCGCTGGTTTCCCTGTGATTTGGAACAAAACTGCCTCCTTATTCCTCAGAATACGCCCTTAATTTTGTCATGTCTCTGTCCTCATCACAGGATATCTGACATAAGGCTATATCAATTTGCATTCTATTTGTATCCCTTCCCTTTTGGAGGTTGGCCATGACTGCTAGTTGTCCCCATATCCACCTTCCCCCTTCTTGTAGAGAAATAGAATTTGTATCAGGGCCATGTGACTACCCAGAATGAATGCTATACTTCCCATTTCCTTTTGCAGTAAAGTGTGACCATATGATTAAGTTCCGATTAATGGTTTGTAAGTGGAAGTGTGGTATAGCACCTTCCAACATCCTTTCTTAAAAGACAACTTATGTGAGTGCTGGCTGGGCAACTCAGTTGGTTAGAGCATCACCCTGCTACACCACGGTTATGGGTTCAATCCCCAGTCAGAGCACATGCAGAAAGCAACCAATGAATGAATAAGTGGAACAACAAATCAATGTTTCTCTCTCCCTTCTCTCTTTCTCACTCTCAAAAAAATAAAAAAGACAACTGATGTGGACTCTTGCTTGGCCCTTTATTTTTCCTCTTCCTCTGTCATGCTGTCTAGAATGTGCATGTGAAGGCTGGAGCTCTAGCTGCCACCTTGGGCCCTGAGGAAAATGAATTAACTCTAGGGATGGCAAAGCTGGATGGAGTCCTGGATCTCTGAAGACATTTGAGGCACAATTGCCATACGGCTGGGCTGGTCCTCCAGACTTTCACCTTGGAGGACATGAACTGTCAGTATCCCTTAAACATTATCTGTATCACTGTGCCTGAGGGCTCTTTTTCTAAAACTGCAAAAAAAACCTCAGCTGCCAGTGTTCCAAGAAGGCCGAAAGTGCTAAGGAATTAACACCCTCTAGGATCAGTCCTCAACAAATGACTTTTAGGAGCTGGTATATAAATACCCCAGCTGCCTTGCCTCTTGGTTGGGATAACTGTGAGGTGTGTGTTTTGCGTTGTTTCCCAGTTTCCCCACAGGATTGAGCTTCAGTTACCCACAGAGGTAACTTGCTTGACAACATACCCTCTTCAAGTATAGTTC